GTGTCAGATAATTCACTCCGAACTCTCACCACTAATTGCTGTTGCAAGTGAAAACTGATGATCGGCTCAAAAGATCGTCACCAATCCCGTAATATTGGAGTTTGGAAAGGAGAACGAGATGATCAAAACGAACGAACGCCTTCGACAAATCCAAGTAGATCACATCAACGGCCTCTCCAGCGTCAGCTGACTCGGTCCAACTACTCCGTGCGATTAATAAATTTGTTGTGCACGATCGCTGTCGACGAAAACCGTGTTGCTCGGGAGCAATAATGTTACGATTTTCTAGCTAACACACCAACACATCGGCAACGATGGATTCCATGACCTTGGAGAATACAGGAAGAAGGGACACTGGGCGGTAGTTTGAGGGCTCAGTCTTGCTTCCGCCTTTGTGAATCGGAGTTATTATTCCAAGTTTCTACATCGTAGTAAGTTGGTTCTGGTCTAAGCAGCGCTGGAAGAAATGTGCCAAAGACTTTGTCAGTTGCCTTGGTGTTGCTCCCAGTGCCTCTGGGCGAATGGTGTCGACTCCCGGGGAGTTGTGGTTGCGCAGAGACGTCAGATTCCGCAAAGCAACTTCGACAGGAAAATAGATGTGGGTGAGTCCTGGAGGCGACGAAACAAAATTTTGAAAATGGCCTGATGACAAGACCCTCTGAAGTGTGGGAGCATATTGAGTCCGCAACGCGTTTGCTGCTTCTATGGTTGTTCTAGTTAGACCATCGGTCGTCTGGAGAGGAGGAATCACTGCCTCACTCTATGACGTCCATTGACATGCTTGTACAGCATTTTGTGATTGGCGCTGAAAGTTTTCGCCATATTCTGATGATTTGCGACTTTGTCATTGCTGAGCAGTTGAGTGTAATGGTTACGATGCGTTACGTTGTTGTCCTAGTTATCTGGAATTGGTAATAATCTGTATTCTCGCCAGGCTGCGTTGTGTATAGCCATCCATTTGCTAGTTCCGCTCCTCACGAAAGAAACAGTTCTGGACCCATTGAAAACCATTGACTGTGAGGCATCTGTAACCAGTGGACTGAATTTGCTGACGAATTTAAACGACTTTCGAATGGGCTTCAGCGAGGAACGACCAGGTTGTGGCACTGACGAGTTGGGCTAAGCGGTCGTAGCGGGTAATGGTGCGCAGGAACTCAGGGTTCTGGTTGCGTAATTCCGCATAGCAGAGGAAGTCGAAACTGATGACTACATGATCAATGCGACCCAAAGAACATTCTACGATCAATACATCAATCATATGTTCCTCGTTGGTGAAAACAAGATTCAGCAAAGGTCTATTACCTGTTCTGAAACGAGTGGGCGTAATAACGTGATTGTAAAGTGGAACAGTGGTTATAAGCTCTTGCAGATCTGCTTTGAATGGCTCTCCGATTGTAGCAGGAGCTTCTAAACAGTGTACATTGAAATCACCCATAATAAGGATGTGTGTGCTTTCGCTTTAGGCTACATCTTAAAGCTGTCGCAAGTTGACAGTCCATTTCCGGTGTAGAGTTTGGGGAGCGGTATACCAAACCTACGATGAAGGTCTCTGCCATGTAATTGCAGGCGGCACCAAAGAGAATCGGCGAACTGTAAGTTTGAATCCTCAACGGCCTCGCATTGTAGGTCGCTTCGGTAATACCGAATTACCCTTCCTCCTTTCGTAAGCCTGTCGTTTCGTATGAGTGACATACCCGGCAGCGAAACTTCAGCGTTTGTCATCCCAGTGTGCAACAATGTCTCCGTGACACCGATAATATCGCATGGCTTCAAAATTTGACGATCCTTCAGTTCAGCCAGCTTATTGAAAAGGCTTTGAGCATTTGTATAAAGGCAGGATAGTTTCTCGATCTTAAGGAGCCCACAGGGAGCCAAATGAGTTCAGTGTGGTAGAATGCCGACCGATGCTACGTCAGCCGTTATTCGTTTTTTGGATGATGACACGTCCTTCGCAAACCGATTTGGCCAAGGTACGTCCCAGTTGTATTAGCAAATTTAGGGGAAAGAACTCAGATATGCAAAACACCAGAGACAATAGAAGAGAAACCAAATTTATTCAGCACCCATCACATTGAGAAATAATGCATTCAACTCATGTGAAGGTATCATGCCGATCGCTTGAATGAGTGCTACTGACTAAGCGGTCAGAAACATGGTGTTGAAGTAGAGGATAACTTATCTACGACCGTTGGGTATTAGCAAGATGTGAAATTCTCGCACGAAGAGGAAGCAACCGGCAGATTGATATAGGCTATCCGGGTTGGGTGATTTAGAACTAGAGATCAATGGAAATCAGGAAACTCAGAGAGTAACACCAGCCACTAAATGAAGACGTTACACACAAAAAGGCTACTTCTAGTCTAATGCATCTTTAACTGAAATAAAGGATGACCTCCTGGCGGAAGTAGGAATAAGACTTGTCTGTTTAAAAAGGTGAGGTGAATAAGCAACGGTGAACAGTCGACCACAGCGTCTTAGTGTGAGGAATTTGGACTTGTTATCTGGCTCTCCAATAAATACCACAAGATCTCGTACGATGTCAAAGTCAACGCAGCTGGGTATAGAATCACCGACCACTCACTTCTGCCACGAGAGGAGAATACACAGCGGAGGGCAGATAAAAAGCTTAGTTGACCAATTGGCTTGGTGTTCATCATCATTAGATAAGTAAGTAAGCGAATAACCCCCTAAATTCTAACGGTGATTGTAGTTAGCGAGGAGTTCGGTGGCCCAGGAAGTACTTCCCAATCAACGTACGGCTAAACTTGGACTCTGGGCACTATGGGTACCTTGTTGATGCTGGAAAGTCGTGCAATTTATACTTTAGTAACTGGTTACCAATGTTTTAAGTTGACGTCATCCGCCCCGCTGAAGTGTTGGTCGGACGTTTACGGTCGAAAATACTAAGTGGGGTCCTGTAAGACATGACCTTTCCAAGAGCAAATGCATAGAGAGAAAGAGTCGTCAGTTCATTGGGTAGACCACCAAGCAAAATGATAGCGTCAAGAATTCCTAGAATACATGTAACAAATTAGATCTCATCAGGTAGAGATAGCAGGCATCGAGCGCGGAACCATTAGGAATCGCGGCCCACACTGAGAATGCACGTAGCAAGTCATTCACATAACGAGTACTTCAAAACGACCCTCCAATCAGTCGTTAGTCGTTGTGACAAACTTTGACCGTCATGACGAGGTAGCCAAAGCAGTAGAGGTTTCGGCTACTATCCCAGTGATCGAGGGTTCGAAGTCTGATGAAATCAAATGATTTCGAAACGCGTCGGGCGAGCAACACTCAATCTGTCTAGGAGGCTACGGTCCCGGTGATCAAATGATAAAGGTTCACTTCAATTCGAACAGCGGTTTACATTGAGATTGCGAGTCGTAATCCAATCACATAACGTGTACTTCAAAATAGATCTCCAACTAGGTAACGAATGTCCACGAAAGACCAATCCGTCTTTTGTGCAGGTACAGGTCAATGTAAAATCTTCATCATTTGTACACAAAGCTGGACTGAGCAGTCAACCGCTCCCAAGGTGTGGTATCAGGAATAATCCGAGCTTCACTGATGTAACCAGGGATTTTGTTTGGTGGGTCTTTCATTTGGGCTAAGTAAATCAGCACTATAGGCACGTTTGCGAAACAGTGCATATTGTATGACGGAAAATGTGGTGTGAGAATGAGCATACCAACTGAGCTGTCAGAGATGGACAAATGCAGAAAGACAGAGCATGCAACAGAATATCACGTAAGAGCGGGAGTCCGTGTTGATATGAATCCCGGCGAAGAAGAGTATGCATGGTATTTCGCTGACAGACCTGAGAGGGGATTGCTAACACGTGAGACACAGGGAAGAGTCTATGATAACGATGGCGACGGATTTCTGCGGGAGATGCCAAGTTGCCCATGTACGACAGCTGGACCAACGGTGGGATGTTAACCACCAACAGAGGAGGGTTACACCGAGCGCTGGTTAGCTGCATCGCTTGGGATGAGAGACAAAACATCAAGGATAACAGGTTCACACACTCATCGTCACAGGTGCAGTGAAGTGTTCGTTTTGTGACTCCAGGCAGTTCCGTGAGACAGGTTCCCCATGTAGTGACACCAATAATGACAGCGTATCTTCACCACACTGTATGGAAAAAAGACGTCAGCATCGACGCTCCGCTGCCACCATCAATTGCAGGTGGGTTAGGGATACTGAGAAGGTCGCCGGTCTCATTGCAGATACGAACCCGCGACCTCCGGAGTACAATGCAGATGTGCGATCTTTTAGACCAAGTACCGGCCGCGTGGATTATCTCTCAACTAAACCTTCGGCTGAAACATCGCTTATACTAAATGAATCAGCATAACTAACAAAGTTGGTATGAGGTAGACTTTATCAGTGGCTCAACAATTCTCGTGGGAGAGAAATCACAGCTCAGGATATTGGCCACATAAAGAGAGGATGTACTGAACAGATGTATATCCTTCGTAGAGCACTTCAGTGTCGCCATGCTTGTAAGCAACCTGTCATGATATCTATCATGATATATTTGACAGCCTTTCGTTCTGTCGATCGCAGCTGTTTGTGATGGTGTCTGTTTCTGAAACGCGTAGGAGAGATTATGGGTTGTCCTCCGAGATGAGTGATTCGACTGCAGACGCTTCATTCTCGGATTAGGCAACATCATCAGAGCAGTTTCAAGGGCTTGGCTTGCAGCACTAGATGGAAGAAGCGAAATGTAACAAGCACTGGGTCGAATGCAAAACAGCGTCGGTCAGGCTAAATTGAGGTGAAATTCCACTATGCGACCACAGTTTAATGTTAAGATTGTATATCCCCATTAATAAAAGAAAACGTTATAAGTTATTGGAAGAAGTTACTAACTACAACAATATGATAAATCTACACCCTGGCAAATAAATGGGCAGGTAAGGAGTGATGAGAAAAGTTCTCTAAGAAATCGACCAAGCTTCAAATCGAAAGAAAATAATGGCATAATCTCTTACTTCAAACAATGTTTCCCACCAGTATTCGGTGGACATTGTTGATGACGACTCCGTAAAGGGAATCCCGGGGACAAGCGAATACACCGGATGTAACTTGGTTTGCAAAGAATCGGAGATACACCGGATACAAGAATACAGGCGGTTCGCGTTGCACGTGAAAAGGTCATACGGGATAATCTCTACTGGGAGTTTACTGTGGAAAGCGGAACCGCAAGCGCAAAGTGAGCTTTTAGTGGAAGACGAACTTCGTATTAGCAACGGCTCGGAAACCTGACGGCTCAGCACCGAACAGTGAATAAGCTCTGACTGGGACATTGTTCAAAGGAATGAAAAATTCCGAATAGCAGCACAAAATCTACAAAGCAAAAATAGCTCAATGTTAACGCACTTTCAAATATCGATGAGCGAAATTAGAATAAGTGATCATATATTACAGATATGTATGGATTATGGGTCATGCAGACCGAAATTTCATCATTTCGCTGAAACGAAAGGTAGTCACGACCAGAAGTGGCACAAGGTGTCATGGGGAGCAAGATACGCGAAAGGTAGTATATGTAATCAATTCCGGCCACAGCTTAGTGAACATCAAATGTGACAACTTCTCTGGGACTGAACAAGTCAGGATCTCCTAGACGTTCAGGGTGGTCACGTGGTCAACCGTGGCTCGATGCGCCGAGGTGCCGCGAACACGGTTGTTTGAACACACATCGCCAAAGTAATCATACTCATAAACACGAGTCATCAGACGGACTGGTTAAGTTAGAAATTGGCGAACAAAGACAAACCATTCACTGAATATGTTACTACGTATTATCCTGTAGGGTGTCTAACCACTGATTTGCCTGAGCTCGAGGTCCCAACGCAGGTAGGGAACAAACACTAACTCGGCCACATCGACGCATTACTCAAATAGACGAAGTATTGGTAAAGCAATAGATACCGAAACAACGAGCATCCATAGCATCTGATTGAGTCCAGGAAGAAGATTCAAATTCAACAGGCACCACAATGAGGCGTAGAAAGGCCTGTTGTAAAACGCGGCTTGACGTACTTCCCAGATATGAATAATGTTTTCCTGGGATTGTTGGTGAAAAGCACTCAATCTCTTACCATTATCTGCATGCGGCGGCCACATCGCTGGTCGATATGGTGCAACTGGTAGCAACGTAGAGTTATAAGTCTTTCCCCTAACCAACATGTTCAGATCTCAGTTTTTACACAGATGGCAAAGGCATTTAAAAAATGCAGTGACTTTAACACTGCCTGCAGTAAACCTGTAAATGTTATGACTGCTCGAGGTGATATAGCTGCATTGATTGGTAAACAGGCAGAAAACTTAGAGCGATCGATCAGGGCGCAGTCGTGCTCTATGAGATCAAAAGTGCCTTTGATTCGGTGAATAGTTATGCCATTCTAGACTGTCCTCTCAGGAAATGTGACCGAAAAATAGGTAAACATTATCAAAGTGTTGTGCGCACATAGTTAGGACACCGTGAGAGTTTACGGCAAGCTCTCAGCGCTATCTGAAATCTCCAGCTGTATGAGAAGACGTCGTCTGTTGTTAGCTTTGCTCCGTAGCTGTGCCAGTCATGGGAGCTGGCCAGCGATGGACCCAAATTGATCACATTGTCATAAGTTACAGATGGCGTGGTTCCATTCTGGATTGCCGCTCCTACTGCAGTACCTGCGTCGACTCTGATCATGCCTTGGTACGCTGTCGTTTCTCCATGAACTTCACCGGAAGGCGCACAAAGCGTCCCATCCGATTAGCAACGGAGAAATTGTCCAAGCCCTCTGTCAGGCAAGCCTATCAAGAAGCACTGCATAGCGAACTCTCGCTGTCTTGTCATAATGACACTGAAATCCAGTGGAATAGGACCTCGGCCACCACGCACGACGCAGGAGCATCTGCTTGTGGCACTATCAGTCGTCACCGCATCAGTCACTGGATATCCGAGAGGTCCGTGAACCTGTTGGAATCTAGAAGGCACCTCCCGGCTGGCTATGAACACAATGCGACCAGACGGGATACTAGGCGTGAACTAAAGCAGAGCCTACATGCGAACAAGCAAGCCTGGTGGACCAGTCGGGCTCAAGAAATGGAGGAGGCAAGGACAGCAGGCAATTACCGCAAGCTTTTCCAGCTTATCCGCACCACTGGTCCCAGAAAACCAGGCGTCAGTGAGACAATCAGGGACAGCACGGGTGCGCTGATACACAATAAGGAACGTCGTATGGCTCGTTGGGCTGAACACTTTGAAGAACAATTCAACTGGCCCCCTGCTCCCGGACCTCTTCCTACTCAGGTGATGCAGGACGAGCCATGGAGGATTAGTTTAGAGCCTCCGTCGGAGACCGAGGTCCGAAACGCAATCACAGCCCTCAATCGTTTTCGTGCCGCTGGCACGGATTGTCTGCCACCTGCACTATTTAAGGATGGAGGTGAGGTCCTCTGCAAAGCACAGACCTCCATATTCGAATGTGACTGGAAAGAATACAGCGCACAGGCTAATTGGAGCGAATCGATTATAGTGGCAATATACAAAACTGGCAGTCGCACAGACTGTGCGAACCACAGAAGTATTAGCCTAACGCCAGTTGTGACAAAATTACTGGCCTCGATTATCATTCATCGCCTCACTGCGGAACGAGAATCTCGGATTAGGGAAGAGCAGGCTGGTTTCCGCCCAAGACGTGGCTGTATAGACCATATACATTCTGTGGTAGGTGCTGTAGCAACGCCACGCATACCGCAGACCGACAATAGCTGTGTTCCTCGATTTCAAGTGTGCGTTCGATTCCGTCGATCGATCGATTCTGTTCGAAATACTTGCACGAAAAGGTGTTCCCACGAAATATGTGAACATCCTTCGTGCTCTATACTCGAACACTACAGGCCGCCTCAGGGTTTACGGTGTCCTATCGGATAGCTTTTCGACTACAAATGGCGTTCGTCAGGGTTGTCCGATTTCCCCGTTTTTGTCCAATTTCCTCGTGGATTCTATCATGGAGTGTTCCCTTGCGGAATCTCACGATGTAGGCGTTGAAGCGCTGCCTGGTGAAAGATTACTTGACCAAGATTATGCAAACGATATCATCTTGCTTTTCGACGACGTTGGATCTGCACAATCAACAATGATTAGCCTGTCCAGTAGTCCCATTATTTGGTATGCATTTTGCACCTTCAAAGTGCAAAGTGTTGCTGCAGGACAACCAGCCACTTGATGACCCCTTGAAGCTTGCTAACGAGGAACTCGAGGTGGTTGATCAATTCACTTATCTTGGCAGCTGCATCAGCAATGATGGGTGCATAGAAACTGACGTCAGCTCACGCACTGCAAAGGCTAGAGCTGCCTTCTTGAACCTGCGTCATCTTTGGCGACAGAAAGGTGTTTCCCTCCGTCTGAAAGGCCGTGTATACAAGGCCATAGTGAGGGCCGTTCTGCTCTATGGTAGTGAAACTTGGCCCCTTCGGTCTGAAGATCTGAGGCGCCTTCAAGTCTCTGATCATCGTTGTTTGCGAAGCATTGCTGGAGTCGGATGGCACCAGCGTGTCCGCAACGATGATGTGCGTAGGCGAGTACGGGGTAATGATAATCGTGCTAGCTTCCTAGAGCAACAGATAACACTGAATAAGTTGCGTTGGCTCGGGCACATGCTACGTATGCCTGGTCACCGCTTACCTAGGAGGGCCTTGTTTAGTCGGCCAGGTGTAAAGTGGCGCAAGGCTCGCGGTGGACAGAAGTTGACTTGGCAACGGGAAATGAAGTCACTGACGGGTTGGAGTCCACGTGACTCACCTTGTGCTTGGCTCGAGACTTTACAGGACATGGCTCGCAATCGACACCAGTGGCGCGTCTGCTGCCGTCTCCTAAGCGGATTGCCTGTTTAAAGTGTGTTTGCTGCTGATTCATCTGCGGGGTAATGGCTGATTATGACGCGTGGCAGTGAAAGCCGCAAGGAAGCTGTCTCGCCGATGCCGCCTTATCTTTGCACGATAGCCAGCTGTTTGTGACGGTATGTTGACTACACAAGGTGTAGGCGCCTTGACCTTGAATGTTTGCTTAGGGCATTACGGTTTTCAGGTAAGTCCCTCTTCTCTCCCTATTATTCTTTATTTCGTAGATCCTCATGTTTTTATGGCACCGGAGCATCAGTTCAAATGGCTGATGTACTGCTGTTGATGATGATGATGATGGCGTTCAGTTTGATGGGAGCCGCAAATTTAGTTACATGCTTAGTCAGTCTTTGAACCTGCAGTGTATTCTCTAAAATGCCATTAACCGCAATGATTGCACGCCTAAATGCACCCACCAATATATCGTCTGGAACAATGTACACTAGTGCGTTACACAATCCATTCCCGCACGCAGCATTATATCGTCATCATCATCATCATCAACAACAGTACATCAGCCATTTAAATTGATGCTACGCTACCGTACAACCATGAGAACCTATGAAATAAAGAATAAGAAGAGGGAGAGAAGGGGGGAATTACCAGAAAAACCTTAATGCTCTAGGCAAACATTCAGGGTCAAGGGGCCTACACGGCCTTTCAGACGGAGGAAAACTCCCTTCTGTCGCCAAAGATGACGCAGGTTCAAGAAGGTACCTCTGGCCTTTGCAGTGCGTGAGCTAACGTCACTTTCTATGCACCCATCATTGCTGATGCAGCTGCCAAGATAAGTGAAATGATCAACCACCTCGAGTTCCTCGTTAGCAAGCTTCAAGGGGTCATCAAGTGGCTGGTTGTCCTGAAGCAACACTTTGCACTTTGAAGGTGCGAAATGCATACCAAATAATGGGGCCACTCTGGACAGCCTATTCAGGGTTGATTGTGAAGATCCAACATCGTCGAAAAGCAAGATGATATCGTTTGCATAATCTTGGTCAAGTAATCTTTCACCAGGCAGCACTTCAACACCTACATCGTGAGATTCCGCAAGGGAACACTCCATGAAAGAATCCACGAGGAAATTGAACAAAAATAGGGAAACCGGACAACCCTGATGAACGCCACTTGTAGTCGAAAACTATCCGATAGGACACCGTAAACCCTGAGGCGGCCTGTAGTGTTCGAGTATAGAGCACGAAGGATGTTCATATATTTCGTGGGAACACTTTTCCGCGCAAGTATTTCGAACAAAATGCATCGATCGACTGAATCGAACGTACACTTGAAATCGAGGAACACAGCTATTGTCGGTCTGCGGTATGCGTGGCGTTGCTATAGCACCTACCACAAAGTGTATATGGTCTATACAGCCACATCTTGGGCGGAAACCAGCCTGCTCTTCCCTAACCCGAGA